AAATTAGGTGTGACCCTGGGCAAGTCACTTAACCGCTATCTCACTTTCCTTAACTGTAGAATGAGGATAATAATAGCAGCTACCTCCTAGGGTAGGGCAATTGGTGGCACAGTGGGCACAGAGTGCTGGGCCTGGAGTCAGGAAGACTCATTTTCCTGAGTTCCAATCCAGTCTCAGACACTTACGAGTTGTGTGACCCTGGGCAAGTCACTGAATCTTGTTTGCCTCAGTTCCCTCATCTGCAAATGAGCTGGAGAAGGAAATGGCAAACCAGTGTCTTTGTCAAGAAAACCTCAAATGGAGTCACAAAGAGTGAACAAAAAGCCTTGAGGGCAGGATTTGTTTTGCTTCTGCCCCTGTTTCCCCAGAACATTGAGTAGGGCCTAGCACACAGTAGATTAGCAAATAGGGGGTGCTTAATAAATGCATTCAGAATAAACTTTTGTTTTAACATTCCTAGTGCCTAATATGGCACCTTGTACAAGCAGACACTTTAAAAAACATTCACTGTATTTCTCAGAGACAGAGAGATGATAGATAAACAAATATTCTGATCAGATACGTAATTTCATAAGTGTAGGCATCTCCTGGTGAGGAAACTCCTTTCATCAATGCGGATCGCCAATAGCTCTGCCGCTTAGAGTCTTACAGGTTTAAGGGACTTGCCCAGGGTCACTCAGTGCCCATCAGAGAAGGTGCTTGAGCCCAGGTCTTCTGATCCTGAGGCCAGCACACTGCTGTTCTCTTTCATGTTCTCTCTCCCTCCTCCTCCTTCCTCCCTCTCTCTCTGTCTCTCTCTCTGTGTCTCTGTCTCTCTCCATCTTTGTCTCTCTGTGTCTCTCATCTTTCTCTGCATCTCTGTCTCTCCCTCTCACCCCTCCCTCTTTCTCTTCTCTCTCTCAATCTCTCTCTTTCATCTTCTCTCTCTTATCTTCTCTCTCTCATCTTCTCTCACCCCTCTCTCCCCTCCCTCTTTCTCTTCTTTCTCCTCCCCTTTCTTATTCTGTCTCTTTTTTCTCTCTCCCTTCTCTCTCTTCTTTCTCTCTCTCCCTCCCTCCTTCTCTCTCCTCCCTCTCTCTTCCCCTTTCCTCCCCTTCTTTCTCTCTCCCTCTTTCTCCTCCTGCTGTCTCTTCTCTCCTTTCCTTTCTCCCTTTTTCCTTTCCCTCTTTCTCTCTTTTCTCTCTCCTCTCCTTTCTCTTCTCTCTTTCTCCCTCTCTTCTCTTTCCTTCTCTCTCTCTTCTCTCTCCATCTCCCTCTTTGTTTCTGTCTCAATGTAATATATATATATATATGCATATTTAACACAGATTATACAAATATGTTCATTATAACATCAGCATGCTGGTAAATATTTAACAGCTGGCTCTCGGGCTGGGAGGTGATGTCTGAATAACACACTTTTAAATTTAATCTGCATAATTTAGATTTTTTTTCTTCATCACTTGCTTCAGTCTAGAAAATCAATAAAATAATAAACCAAGCCCTGGTCGTATTATTATTATTTATAGATTTCTGAATTGTAGATGCTCACATGAACATTTAACAATGGGTTCCTAGGAGCCTGTTGGACCTAGCTCCAGCATGCCCCTGATTACACATTTTAAGCCCTCCCATGTACTCTCTGGTTACAAGGCCCACACCTTTGGCATGCTCCTAGCCATTGTTCACTGGTATTTATTTAACTATAGGGCCACACATTCTCTCAGTGCTGAGAATCCACCAAGGCGCACACCGGCTCCCCGAAGGAAAATGCCATACCTCCAAAGCCAGAATCCCAGTTTCTGTTGGGATCTACCCCCTTGCAAGAGGAATTTGAATTGATAGCCCGGTTCTTGCGCCACAGACGATTCTAGGAGAAAAACATAGATCATGTGATCTTATGAGCTGGGAGCCCACACCACCCAAGTTTTGGGAAAGGGCACAAGGTACTTGAGACATCCCAAGTCTTGGTTTCTAATCCTGGACACTTATGGGCTGTGTCATTTGGGATAAACTCTCTGGGTCTCGGTTTCAGAATCACAGACTTAGGGCTAGAAGAGACCCAGCAGTCAATCAATAGACATTTATTAAGTACCTCCTGTGTGCTGGGTCATCTAATCCAATTTATTCATTTTTAAAAATGATTTAATTGAAGCCCGAAGAGGTGATCAAGGCCATACAGGTATTAGAGGATCAGGTCTCCTGGCTCCAAATTCCAAGGACTATTATGAAGTGAGGACAATATTCCTCCTTATTCTCCCTCCATGATGGGTGTAAGGATCGGATGAGTGACAGTAGGCCGGATGCCAGGCATGACTGTTACCCTGACCTTCCCAGTGACTCTGGCCATGGAGCAAAGGTCATTCCTGAGCTTTGGGTCAGACTCCTAGGTATTCTCATCTCCACCTCTGTTCCACTGAGGAGAAGGTAAGGAGAAGGAGGCAGGAGGAGAGGAAGAGCTAACAGGGACAGGTCATAATCAGGGTAGGATGGGACCCGACAGACAAGGTGTGCTTTTGCCTGTCCAGATTAGCCAGCACTCTGACAAGGGGGTCCCAGGCTGGTGAAGATAGCCTGGAGCATTGCTCTTGGAGTCAGAGGTGGGTTTGGGACTTGGTTCTTTCACTGTGTGCCTGTGGACAGATTGCTTCACCACATTCTGGAGGAGCCTATGGTGCCTAACCACCATGCTTAACCTAGCCCTGGCCCACAGCATCCTCCACTGATTGCCTCAAGAGTCCAGGGGGAGGGCCAAAAGCCCGGCATCCTCCCTTGTCCCCACTCACGGCCCAAGACAAGGCAGAGTGTCCAGGGGAATGCTTCCCTCCCCTCCACGGGGGGATTAGGCCTTTCCTTCCTTCCCCGACAGGTGCTCTGGTCTCCCCTCCCTTCCCTCTCCCAAACAGCCTCACCATGCTGTGGGTGTAGGCAAACCCATCAGGATTGGTCACGATTTCAAGAAAGATGTCCATGTGATTCAAGATCCTGGTCAGCACTGGATCTTCCCCATAATCTGTGGCGATCTGAAAGGAAGGGGGGATAGCAATGCAGGAGGATTGGAGTGGGGCCCCCAAAAGCAGGCATGAGGGATGATGGAGGGGAATGGGGGTCAGAACCAGGGCCGAGCAGTTTCACTACCAGGCAACAAGGTGCTAAAAACCTTAACTATTGTTTGTGCTGTACCTTCTCTATGGATGAACCACAAAATCAATTAGATTATAAGCAACTACAGCATGGATTCTTAGCCTGGGAGTCTGTAAACTTTAAAAAAAATTATTGATAACTGTGTTTCACTATAATTGGTTTCCTTTACAAAAATAACAACAACAATAGCTAGCATTTATATAGTGCCTACTATGTTCCAGGCACTGTGCGAAGCGCTTTTTACAAGCATCTCATTTGATCTTCACAATAACCCAGGGAGATAGGTGGTATTATTATCCCCAATTTACAGA